GCAAAGAGCTATCGTTTTGCAACATAGCGTTACCCTTTTATTCACTTTGTTACTGTGATTTTTTAAAAAAGGTCTCTTTGTAATTGAAGGTGGTTACCATGTGATCCATGGTTCTTTTAGGGCTAATTCAGGTCTCTTGGAAAAATAAGAGGCACAGATTACAACAGATTTCAACGCATGTGGAGACCACGTTAGTTAAGGGCAGGGGGGTAGGTCTGTTGTTCCAGGTTTTTTTCCCCCATCTTTCTCCTTTAAAAGAGAAAGCTGTAATCCAGAATGGAATAGGGAGTAGAGGAATGAATGTGCATTTTGCAAAGAAAGTATTTGAATTTCTGAAGTTAGAACCCTGTTTGCATTATATTTAGTTCTTATTCCACTGGTAAGACTAAGCTTCTCCAAGAACAGTTTACTATGCAGAATACTGAATATTTAAGGAAACATTTATACTGTTGTGCATTATCTTTTTCTCAAGGCTCTGATATACAGAACAAAGCATGAAGACTTTACCTAACTTTTTTTTTTTGTTAAACAGAGCACCGAGAGAGATCAAAATTCAAGAGTGAAAGAAATGATGTTGAAGGTTCATATAATCCAGTTTCCGTGTCTCCCAGTAAATCTACTGAACAGTATTCCTCTGCACAATCTATTCCCAGTGCTGTTACTGTAATTGCACCTGCGCACCATCTTGAAAACACAACAGAGAGCTGGTCAAATTACTACAACAATCATAGCAATCCCAGTTCATTTGGCAGAAACCCTCCTCCTAAAAGAAGATGTCGAGATTATGATGGTAAACTGTTTCTTAGTTTTCAGTTTCATACCATGTTTCAATTATTCTATGAACTTTTTTTTAGGTATTCACTTAATGTAGGCAGCAAGTCAAAATGCAGTAGCATGTGGAGTATACCTTGTATGTGAAAGATGCATATATGCCCTGTCTTACTGGTGAAATAACTAGTCTTACTGGAAGAAGTTGACTTATAATCTGACAGTTGCTGGATAAGAACATACGGAGTTTGTTCACAGTTCTGTATATGCTTGACAAATATTTCAACTACTGGCAATTCTGATAAAGATTGCAGTATATGTGTTTAATATAAAACAGGTGGTACTTCTGACTTTTTTCCACAGCTTTTATGATGGATGCCTGTATGTTCGTATGCTTTTATGGAAGATTATTCTATTTGAATTATTTTGAAACCTGATCTGATAATGTAATGTTGGGTCAGTGATTGCATTTTTTCTTTAGTAAGAAATTCTGCAAAAACTGAGATGCTACAAATAGCTGACAACTAATTTGTTTTTTCTAAAGAGATTATTAAATGTCCTGTTTTACAGAGCGAGGATTTTGTGTTCTTGGTGATCTTTGCCAGTTTGATCATGGAAATGATCCTTTAGTAGTAGATGAAGTTTCCTTGCCAAGTATGATTCCTTTTCCTCCACCACCTCCGGGACTCCCTCCTCCTCCTGGTATGCTTCTGCCCCCTTTGCCAGGTCCAGCTTGTAATATGAGGTTGCCAGTTCCACAGGCTCATCCACAGGCACCTCCTCCTGTTGTGCTTCCCGTACCAAGTAAGTCACAACATTGTTATGTGTTTCTTTATGTCACCAGGTTAAAATGATGGCTCTTTCTGGAAGATCTGCATGTATTCAAAGTAATGAGTTCAGGTTTCTTTGCTAGCCGTGCGCTATTCAAAATATTGCCAAAATAATTCTGAAGAATCAGCTTGTAAAATAGGATGTTCGTAGCACTGCAAATTGAATTAGATAAATTGGGCAGGGAAGCGGAGGTGGGTATCTTTCAGATTATCTCATAACCCTGGTGTTTGGCTTGATCACTGACAATTGGATTACTAGCTTTTTTTTTCCCCCTAATGCAAAAATGTTGATATTTAATCTCCTAAAAGTTCTAATAAATTTCTGTGTTTGTCCTATATTATCTGCTACTAAAAAGCAATACATCATTGATAGATACATCTATTTTAACTCAACAGTGATCTGAGATGTTTAGCCTTTTTTGTTATCTTACAGCATCTTATAATGCAAATTCTATGAAGAACTAGAATATTAGATATGCGGTTACTCTGTTTCAGTACTCTCTATTCCAGTAACAAAATACATGCTATGGAACTTGTATCAAATAGCAGCAGCTATGGGATGAGAAATAATTTTATATAGGATTAACCCTAAACTTTGCATGAGCCTTTTAGTGGGTGGAATTGGCTTGCTGTTGAGTGAACTGGCAGTGCTCTCTGTAGTCATGTCTTGATAGGTTGTGCAGTGTAACTCACTGTCCTTTTTTGGCCATGCATTAAGTAGGAATGTATGTATCATATATGGTGCAAACAAAGCAAAAATAGCTAGATAAATTCCTTGTCTGTGAATGCCTTTTGCCCTGTATTTCTTGTTTTAGAACTGTAATCTAAATGTTGCTGATATGATCTCTTCCTTTGCATGAGCCTTGATTCTCCATGGCAGAGCTGAGGGAGGAGCCACTTTAGTTAATGCAAGCTCTAACAATAAGAAACCTCTGGGGAAGAAAAGACACGCTTTTTTTTTTTTTTAAGCTTTGTCCTTTCTGGGAAATAGAAAGGGTGTTGGAATCAGAGTAACTTACCTGAACAGGGCTTCTCAATTTACTTTTACTGTAATGGGATTGTAAGTCCCATACACGTGGATTTTTAATGCCAAAGCAAGGCATAAACAAATTGCATTGAATTGTTTGCACATTTTATCTGTGGAGTTGTAAGTCTTAGTGATCTATTCTATGGTGTCATTGTAGGACCACCTTTAACACAGTCAAGTTTGATAAATAATCGTGACCAGCCTGGGACAAGTGCAGTGCCCAGTCTTGCACCCGTAGGAGCAAGACTACCTCCTCCTTTACCCCAGAACCTACTGTATACAGTATCAGAACGTAAGCAAATACCTTTTTTTAAAATCTGCTTGAGAGATAAATTTTAAAATTCCTCTGTTGATGTGTGATTAGAAATTATTACCTCTGTCTTCCTCCAGTACATACAAATCTAAAAAGAAGTCTGATGGCTTTCCGTGTGGTCAGCCCATCACCTGCTGTTACTGTGTGAAATAGCAGTAGTGTTCTGTCACTGTCCGAGGAAAGATCATTCATGGGGAGCTTCATTGGGGTTTCATATGCTCAAAGCCATAAGATCGTTGTATAAGAAAAGGATCCCTTTGTCTTCAAGCTGTTTAGTAGAACATTAGTAGGCAAAAGATGCATCTGCAAACCTGTAATTACTGTTTAACTTGCTCTTTATTCCTATCCAGTTTTGGCTACCACAGATGAGATTGATTTCCTTTCCCCCTCTCTCCCCCCCGCCCCCCCCAAGCTGTCACAATAGTCTCTACAGTCTTCATATACATTAGTACGTACTTTCTATCTTTTTTCCAGAATCAACTGAGTTCCAGCTTTCTAACTTCAAAAAAATTGATAGCTTTCAATGGACATGTCCATCTTCCTTAATAGAGCTTGAATTTTTAAAAAGTGGGTTTGGAGAGTCCTAGTTTGCTCAGTTTAAATCCAGCAAAGCTTATTTCTTTGATAATGAAAGGAGTAATGGCATTTCCATGTTTTACATGAGCAAAACAAGATAATTAAATCTCAATGTTTTATAATATTCCCGTCTGGGTTTTTTTTACATAAATCTTCTGAATTTTATTCAAAGGAGGGCTCTAGTTCATGATCCATGTCATTTCCTTTGTGACTTCCATGCTTTTCAGAACTTCAGTCACTCAGATCTCTTGTTAGATAATCTGTTCAATTATCTCCAAAGGCTGTCAGGCATTTAGATGTTACTATCTGATTCTTACGGCTTCAGAACTCCTAATGGGTGATTCTGTCTACCGTAGCTCGCAGGGTATCACTGACTTCAGTTGCACTACATAATTGTGTTCTCCAGAACATCTGTGGAGATTCTGACATCCTGTTCTTGGACTGTTCCGGTAGCAACTGCTGATTGCCCTCTTGCAATCAATTGTATGCAAATAGTGGAGGAGGAACTTGTGGTTCAGCTCCTGCAAGGTTAATGAAAGTTCTTGGCAGCATCTGAAACTGTAAAACATCAGTATTGAAATTCTGAGGCATCTGTTTTAAATTGTGGAGTCTTCATTGTTGCTGTGGAATAAGGAGCTGAAATTTAGAGTGCTTCAAGTCTGTCAGGTCCCCTTGTGTAGGCATTCATTTCTGTTCCAGGATGTACTGTTTCTGTGGAGGCTTTTCATAGGCTCTATTCATTCCAGTTCTTGTATAGCTTTTCCTTTTTATGGTTGGAAAAATGCATCATCCTTGGTTTGGACCTTGGGCTGGAGGAACAACATGGGTCAATTCTGTCATCTTGTGTTCTTATGGTTGCCCCTTTTAATTAAAATAATCATTAGTACCTTACTGGAACTAGGCAGCTGATCTCACTCTTACATAAATTAAGATAATTTAATAGGTAAGTATTGGTCAAATTACCTGATTTCTCAGCTTGCTTTGATTGGAAGCATTTAAGTATGTTCTTCCCCAAAAATCCTTTTCTGAAATAAACTAGGCTGTTGGGCAGCAAAGACTGAAAAATTGTTCGCATCTGAGGCCCTACAGAATAAATGTTCAAACGACATCTTTTGTTGCTCCCCTTGAAACGCTGTCAGACATTGTGAAGGTCGTCATACAGACACCTCATTCCTTTTTCAGGCAGCTCGTCAGCAATACTCAATTATTGTGACCTATGCGCTTTCAACAAACAGTAACAATCAGATTAAAAAACAAAAGAGAATATGCCCAAATAGACTTGGGCGTAAAGTTCAGTTGAGGGTTTTAAATGGCTACACACATCGGCTGTACAACCTCTTTTCTCTCTTCTCTTCATCCAAAACAATTTCTGATTCTTGGACATCCATGCATTTCCTTAAAGGAAAATTAACCCTGAGTCTTAAACTCATTTGAAAAATTCTTTCATTTCTCTCCTTTTTTTATAGATACATATGAGCCAGATGGCTATAACCCTGAAGCTCCTAGTATTACCAGTGCTGGTAGATCTCAGTATCGACAGTTCTTTACAAGAGCACAAACGCAGCGTCCAAATCTAATTGGCCTAACATCTGGGGAGATGGATACAAATCCAAGAGGTAGGAAGGGTTTCTAGTCATTGCTGTTGCTACTTTTGTCCAAGACCGTCAACACTTTTTTTCCCCTTTTTCAGGCTGAAAGCATTAGTTTTTCTCACTGATCTAGTATTTCAGAGCGATTTTCAGACATCTCTACCTTTATTAAAATGCTAATATGACTGTATTTAAAGTCAAAGCAGCCTTTTTGATTAAAAATAACCACTTGCTTGGGAATGTTACAAGGGTTTTTTTTGGTTGGTTGGTTGGGTTTTTATTCCTCTTTAGCCTGCGAAGGCACTTTTCGGGTGCTGGGTGCTTCTAGAAAGAAAAATGGTGCAGAAAGATGGCTTTAAGCAGTACAGTCTGAATACTGCTTTTGATTTGCCAAGGGTTTGTTTAGGACCTAGGGCACCGAGGTGATGATCTACGATACTTGCCTCGGCTGTTGTGATGGTAGTGAAGAGGGGAACTGTCGTGGCATGTTTTTGTGCTTGATGGTCTGACTCTGTCAGCCAGATGTTCTCTCTAAAATGAACATTGCAGGTAGCATTCTAATTCTCCTAGCCCGTGGAAATTCCAGTCTGCATTTAAGTAATTCTGAATCCTTAACTGGATGGATATGGATGTAGTGTCTTAGAGGCGACATGTACAAAATATCTTTTAGGGGAGAGAACAAGTCAAGGCTCTTTAAAGAAATTTTTGTTCTGTTAGCATAACTTTCTTTTCCCCTCCTGCTTTCCCCACCTCAATCCTTAAAAGAAAAGATGTTAAATTTCAGTGTTTACTGTTACACTTCAGTGTTTC